CTGCAGATCAAAACCTGGTAGGAGTGGTTGATAAGGCAATTGGTTGTGCTTCTATTCAGAGGGACCTCAACAGGCTGGAGAAATGGGCAGAGAGGAATCTCATGAAATTAAACAAAGAGAAATGACAAGTCCTGCCCCTGCAGAGCAATAGCCCCATGCACTAGGACAGGCTGGGGGCTGACCAGCTGGAGAGCAGCTTTACAAAGAAGATGCCGGGGTGTTGGTGGACACCAAGTCAACTATAAACCAGCAACATGCCATTGTGGTGAAGAAGTGTTATAGCTGAAAGGTTAAGGTTTTGAATCCTGCTTAGGAATATCTGGGTGACCTCCACATAACCCCAGGCGGGCTAGACAGGCTTCTTGCCACCCTGATTTGAAATCATAGCTGGAGAAACAGACAGGCTGGGGGCCCCTGCCACTGTCAGTCACAAAAAGGTTTCAGAATATTCAAACGAAGGATCAAGAATAATCCAATTAGAGCCAGGATTCAAAATGGGACCAATCATGAACATAGTTTATGCCTGTGTGCACAAGGGGTCTTGGGCATAAAAGCGGCAGGATCTAACGCTTTAGCGGTTCGGCAGCACGAGATGGGCTGAAGTCACGAAGACAGAGGAGCATAAATGCACTGGGCGGCCTTTTTCAAGGCTAGAAGAAGCCCAGCAGCCTTGGTCAAGGCTCCTCTCCCTCTGGCTGAAGACCCCGCCAGATCATCTGAAGCTGAAACTGGAGAAGCTGACCACCACTGAAGCAGAGAGCGGTGCCTCTTGAATACCTGCCCCCATCCTAGGCTCAGGATGCTGGCTACCAGTATACCCAGGATCCTTCCAGTCATCCTTCTATGTGGACCCCGAAAGCTGGCACACCCCTCCGGCGTGGCCAGGTATGCAGCACCAGTACGCTCACTGGCGTGACTTGGTGAGACTGGGTGGTACGTCCGTCTGGGTATCCATTTGAGATACTCCAACCTTTCTCCCCTCCCTTTGCTGTGCTTGATGTGTCAACTCTATTATTATCAGGTTACATCACCCATCTACTCTGTATGTTCTGTATTTCTGTTCTGTAAAACTACAGAAGCTTCTTGTAAATATCTGTAAATAAGTTCTTGTGTTATAGTACACTAAGTATACTGTTAATTAGCATTAATTAGTTGCCATTGTTAAAAATGTTACTGTAAGCCCATTCATATAAGTTAAGAGCCCTTACTGCGACCTAAACAAACCAAGTTCACACGTTCAATTTGAATAAATCAATTAAAGTAAAAATGTTTTTTAATTGGTGTGTCTACCATCCTCGTGTGAATCGTGACAAGAAGGCTGGGCTGCATTGCCAGCAGGTCAAGGGAGGTGATCTTTCCCCTCTGCTCAGCACTGGTGAGGCCACCCCTGGAGTGCTGGGTTTAGTCCTGGGAGTCTCCAGTAAAAGCGAGATATGGACCTATGGGAGCAAGTCCAGTGAAGGGCTGTGAAAATGATTCAGTTTACAAAGCAGATTATTTTAAAGTAAGATAACTGAAGAGGGAAACAGAAAATCAATGTTACTGCAACACAATTAGAGGTAAAATCCTGTCTACTTGAGTACGGTTGGGTCACTGTGTACTGAATACAAGTTTAAGCACTATCTTCATGCATTCATGGAACAGTTGGAGCAAGAGTGGCAAGGGCTTGATTCTCTCATGAAATAAAATTCTTTATTTTCTGCTGTGAGATAGACAGACCTACAATAAAAGAGGACCAAGCCCCAGGGGCCAAGAGGCAGAACAGAAGTACAGAAGGTCCACAAACGGGGCAGGAACAGCATGCATGTTCTACTACAAGCCGCCAATATCTATTTTGGTGCAAGAGGTTGATAATATCTGCACTTGTAGCTAAGACCCTTTGTAATGTTTAATAAAACATTCCATCTGCTAATTTTTATCACTGGATACAGTGATTAAAGACTAACATTGCTGCTATCCAAAATCAGAGGCAGATAATAGGATCAGCTTATATAAATTCTGCTTAGCACCAATTACATTTATGAACCATTTTATAGATACATGTTTCTGAATACTATCTTGCAATACAGAATTCCACTTAAACTTACTGTATAGAAGACATGTTGCACAAATTTGTATATACATCTGTACATTCTCTGCTAATCCATAATATTACTTCCTATTCTATTCCTACTAAGTTGGCTTACACTATGTCCCAAATATAAAAAGACTTAAGCAAAAGACTTACTATAATATAAATAACATTATAGATTGCTATGGAAGTTTCAAATATATAATCTTATGATCAGATTGTGGAACAACGTACAGTGACCTTAAACGCAGGCAATAATCAGAACAGCCATTTGTAACACAAAACAGGGTGCTTAATTTTGTCTCTCTCGCAAACTCTTTTAAAATGTCAGGTAGTACAAACCAATATTCTGTAAGTGCTGAGACACTTAAACATTTAAGACTTATAAAATAAAATTGTGTTTGCAGTTTCAGACCAAGACAATGCCCAACTGAATCTGCATGGCCACTACAGTACTAATAAACCATGGCCCTGGCAGAAGAATATCCTCCTGATTCTCAAGTGATAGTTTATATCCTGAACACACGACACCTGAAAATGCTCTTAATTCTGATATGTGTTAGAGCAATTGAAAATATTATCATAATTCATCTAATTTAGCATAACATGTCCTTGCCTTACCTTTTGGTTACATTTAAGTTGCAGCCTTGCAGCCTGGTAAAGCTGGTGTTGCCATTGCTTGTAAGAGACACAGACTTTGTTTCAAGATTAAAACTCAGGACTTGTCTGGATTTATTTTGGCCTACTTGGAGCTCTATTTTAGCTTGTTTTGTTTTAAGAGCAATAATCTAACTATTTTGGTAATTACCTAGTATCAGGTAATAGGTGAGTATTACTTAATAAATTTTAGTGTTTGCTTAGCTTTTCACTACAGTGTGTTGTAATGCCTATTGTAACTAACTGTCGCCTTTTTACAAGTAACAGACAGCCATAATTACCTATTTTTCTCTGTTGAATGAAGTATCAATGCAACAAAGAAGAGCAGAGAAATTAGGTGACAGCAGAGGCCTTCACAGCCCAGATGTAGAATGATACTAGAGGTTCAAGGCTATAAGCAACTCACTGGCAACATGACTAGTTATTGGTCATTAGATGAGTGCAATCTTGGGAGCTCGGTAAAACCACTCTCCCTAGGAATAAAGAGAACCAAGAACAAGTATTCAACATACATAAAACACACTTAAAGTCCATTTTGATCTACCCTGAACTTGCAGACTTGCGAAGCAACAGAAAGGCATAGAACTTGTCAGCAAACACTAAAATGATCCCAAACAGACCCTAGAGTCAGGAGAAAGAAATCAATATGAACATTTTATTTCTGCTAGCAAGGAAAAGGAAGAGATCTGACCAAGGAAGAGGAAGAAATCTGACCATTAGTACCATACTCCCCCCAGTAAAGGATTCAAGATGTTGGTAGCATGCTGAAACTGCCTCCCAGACTGAAGCCATTGATGTTTCAGACCCATAGTGTCAGTGGAAAGGTTGGCATCAGATAAAGAAAGGGGTAGATAACAGAAAGTTATTATATATCAGTTTTAACTGTACAACGTTCCAGCTATAACGTTTTCTACCAATCTAAATGGACTAATCTTGATTAGACTGTTACGACTTTACGTACACTAACCGTAGATTCTTGACTTTGCATATATTAAGTATGTTCCTTGACTCACATAAACTGCAGAAGTTGTGCAATAATTTGAGGAAGAATCAAACTAGTTTGCAACTAGGATGCAATAAATCAATAACAAAATACACACACATATACAGACACAAAAACTCATCTGATGTCCCAGAAAATTTCTTCTTGCAGAAGAATTCCATTTTTTGTTCATTCTCAGTAGACGCAATAAATGAGATGCGCTGCTTTTCCTCACGGGCCGGGAGGTAAGCCCCCTTGCCTTTCCTCTTAATTAGCTGTGAAACGTCTGTTGAACAGATACTAATCCACTTACAGTAAAAAACAGTGAAAAGACAATTCAGAAGAATGAAATTGAAAACTACCATATGTCTCGCCATCCTGAAATCTTGACTTTTTGTAATTAAAAAAAGCGAGCTTTGTCCATACCATTGAAAGAAACTAAATAAGCATTTGTCTTCAGAAGTCAGTTCCAGCAACTGACCTGGGATCCGGATTTAGCTCTTTGTATTACCTATCAAGTAGAATTTAAGGTTCCCCTTACTGTTTCTGTGCTTCTGGATCTACACAGCTACAAAGTACCCAATCTTACAGCTCCCTACTCATCACACTCCCTGTTTTGGATGTCCTTCTTGGGTGTCTAATTTTAGCATGTTCTCTGGGCAGGAAATTTAAATGGTACTGTATTGCTGTGAGGTTATTATCACTTACCTCACGTATCGTTATGCAGTTTTGAATATTTTGGTCAGTTCAATGATTCCTAAACTATTGGCACAACAGACTCTCCAATTTTCTCCGAGATGCTGGGACAGCCATAAAGGACAAGAATGTTCTGCATTTTCTGTTTAATGAGGTGAATCTCTTAGAAAGGCCTTGAAGGTTGCTGTTTGGGGGTTGTTCATGGTCCAGGAACCATTGCTTTGATGAGTCAGGAGTGGAAATCTTTCTGAAAATTTATACTCTACTGTTACTACCAATTACTTGACAAAATTTTAAAGCTCTTCAAGAGATAATATAGATAGTTGTACGGTTTCTGTATAACTTCATAATCTAATACTTTTTAGATAATCTGTATTTGTGGCTAGTGCCACAATAGACCCAGCCCTACAAAAACGTAGAATAATAGCTTTACTCATCGGCATAGCATAATTCAACTGATCTTACATGACTTACAAATTTGCAGAACTTAGTCATTTTTAGCAGTTCTCCTCTCCATTTTGATTGCTGTTTATTTCCTTATACTGAAGCAATATGCAGTAGTGGCAAAGTGATTATGAAAGAAACTGTAGTTCCACTGTTAAGTTATATTTTCTGGAGCTTACGTTACTGAGAAAAACAACTATTTCTGCCCTCAGTACAAAAGGTTTCAGCCTCGTACTATGTTTCTCCCCAACATTTTGTTAATAGTCTGACCATTATGTAAGGACAAATACATCCTTACAAATAAGTATATTTTTAGCTGATCAAACTCTGTATGTTATGTAACTAAAAATAGCTACATTTAAAAATATATATAATGTGGCAAGCATGTGCTCCCTATTGTGGACTAATTGCTTCAGCTTTTATGATACATATGTCTATAACAAAGATATAATTACCTGAAATCCATTTTGCCTTTACGCATTTTTCACTTAGGTTGCTGGTCAAATAGCACGAAAAAAACTACAGTTTGAGCTTGATTTTTCAACCATTTGTTTGCTTATTTCTGAGTTAACTAGTAAAAGTTGAAAATATTTGTTTCAGAGCTATAAACTTTATGCTCAGTTTTTAACGGGACCAGATAGGTACAGTTTTTTTTTATTGGACTAGCACTAACTTTCAGAAGTGAAGCTATGCACTAACATAATTGCCACATCAGAACCTTCACCCCAGGGTTAATAGAAGAAAAAAATTGAAGAAATTTAAGGTAGTAAAACTAGGGCTAGGGTTGGTATTTGAGTTAGGAAATGAACTAGCAAAGGCTGAGGCGCTACAGTTATGGCCTGGTCTGGTGCGGGTGTAAGGTCAAATCAGGCTGAAGCTGCCTCTGCGGGGCTAAGGTTTCAGTGAGCAGGCACTGTTAAGCTAGAGCAACACCTAGACTTAGGTGATGCGATCTGTACCAATACCTGCTCCTTACATATTTAGAAATCATTCAGTCATGTTCTTAGACTTAGGTTTAAAGCTGGAAGTGGTTGC